AGGGCTGGAGCAGCTCTGCTCTGGAGACAGGCTGGGAGAGTTGGGGTTGTTCAGCCTGAAGAAGAGAAGGCTCTGGGGAGACCTTAGAGCTCCTTCTGGTGCCTGAAGGGGCTACAGGAAAGCTGGGGAGGGACTTTAGACAAGGACTGTGAGTGATGGGATGAGTGGGAACTCAAGCTGCAAGGGATTGAAATGAGGTGTTGGGAAGCAATTCTTTGCTGTGAGGGTGGTGAGACCCTGGCCCAGGTTGCCCAGAGCAGCAGTTGCAGTTTGTGGTTCCATGTCCGAATGGAGATACGTGGTGAATGGTGTCCCTTGTGGTTCCATGTTGTTTGTTATCTTCATCAAGGGCACCAACAGTGGGCTCGAGTGCCCTCAGCAAGTCTGCAGGTGATGGCAAAGCTGCATGATGCAGCTGGTTCACTAGAGGACAGAATGTCATCCAGAGGGACTGGGACAGCCTGGAGAAGTGGGCCCATGTCAGTCTTCTGAAATTAAAGAAGGCCAAGTGGAAGGTCCTGCGCACAGGTCAGGGCAATCCCCAGTATCAGTTCAGGGATGAAGGCCTGGAGGGAGCTGTGCCCAGCTCTGGGGTCCTCAGCACAGGAACAACATGGGACGGGTTAGAGCAGGTGACCATGAAGGTGGTCAGAGGGATGGAGGATCTCTGCTGTGGGGAAAAGCTGAGTGAGTTGGGGCTGTTCAGCCTGGAGAGGAGGTGGCTGCAGGGAAACCTTTGTGTGGTCTTCATGTATTTCAATATATGAAAGTGGTTTCTGAGAAAGATAGGACGCAGGGCAATGGTTTTAAACTTAAAGAGGGCAGGTTTAGATTGGTGATAATGAACAACTTCTTTACGAGGGTGGTGAGACATGGAAGCAGGTTGTCCAGAGAATCCGTGGATGTCCTATCCCTGGAAGCATTCACCCAGGAAGTCCCTTGCACAGTCCAGCTCAGCCATCCCCCTCCTGGTGCTTTTGTCCAGCCATGAAGGGTTCCCTGAGCCCAGGCCTGTAATTCCTCCATGTAGGGCCTGGGGGCATCCTGGCAGTCCTGGCAGCAGCCCCCCCCCTCCTGGCCTCCTCCAGTCTCCGTGGCAACCACAGACACAAATACCATGGCAACCCCATGGCAACAGCAGAGGCGATGCCACCAGTTCCCACTGCCGGAGGTGGGCGGATGCCTGGGCATGCTGAAGCCAGACATCTCTTCTGTACTTCATGGCCACCACTCTTACAGCCTTGCAAGTGGTGACCACCAGTAGCTCCAGATAGAGGTGAAAGGATTGTCCTACTGCCCTGAGGTGACCAATATCATAATCTCAGACTCATTCATCAGTGTAATCCCAGGGCTGGGGGAGATGATCATCCAGCCCAGCACAGGTCTGCCTCTGCAAATCTGCATCAGCTGCCTCATGGCCAGTCTGGACCCCAGGGAGCCCCTTCCAGAGGACAATTAATTTCCCTGGGAGACGAGCCAAACAGAACTGAAAGGCATTCTCCGAAGTGGGGTGTTAGAGAAGGGCTTTGAGTTTACTCCAAGCCCCTGGCAGGATCTCAGCTCTGCTGGGCAGATGGAACCCACCGTGGCTGGACCAAGGCACCAGGAGGCTGTGGCTGCCCCATTCCTGGAAGTGTTCAAGGCCAGGTTGGATGAGGCTTGGAGCAACCTTGTCTAGTGGGAGGTGTCCTGCCCATGGCAGGGGGTTGGGACTAGATGATCTTTAAGAACCCTTCCCACCCAAACCAGTCTGTGGTTCCATGAGCCCTGAAGGCCTGACCCTGCTACTCCCCAGGGCTCAGGAATGATGAGGTGCTGGCAGGGTCCCCACAGTGCTCACATGGGTGCTGATGATCCCAGCAGGGTGCACCAAATCACTGGCACTTGTCTCAGCTTCTGCTGACAGCTCCCAAAAAACACCCATGCATCAGGAATCTTGCTCTGGCATCCCACCCATGGCTCAGCACCCTGCTCTGCCATGACCGGTGTCTCCTCATCCCTACCTGCAGCAGTCACTCACCCCCCTTCATCCTCCTTTCTTTAGGGGTTTGGATCCTGAGCCACTTGAGAAAAGGATTTTTTCATCCCCTAAAAGTGAAAACAAGATTAATTATCACAGTAATTAATGAAATAACTGCTTTGCTGGAACTTGCTTTAGGTTGTGGGGCACAAGGGGAACACCAAACTCCTGGGGTGCTGCAGGGGGCCAGAGGGTTTTTCTCCAGCTCTGGTTGGCCGACCTGAAGATGGCAGCAATAAAACATGCAGCATCCCTCTACCTGCTTGGGAGCGAGTAGGGTTGGCTCCATCCAACCCTCCTGACTCCAAGGACACCCCCAAATGACCTCTCCTCCCACCTTCTCCCCACTTCTCCCCAACGCCCTGGTGCGACGCAACTTCTTCTGCTTCTCCTTGGTCCCCCCCCCCCCCCCCCAACTCCTGCCCCAAACATCTGCTGGTGGTTCTGGAGCTGCAACCAGTGTCTTCCTCCATCACCTCCACCCTGGCCAAAGTAAGTTGGTGCCTTTCTCTTTCCATCAGCCCCATGCTGGGATGCTCGAAACCGTTTCCCAAGCACCGTTCCCTGGTGATAGGAGAGGTGCTATTAATAAATCCCGTTGGATTTGATCGCTTCTCTCTGTGCCGGGGTGTGTGTGGGGGGGAAACCTGTTTCTCATGAGCGTTTCGTAGCTACGCGCTGCCCCGGGTGCAGGAGCATGGGATGGCTCAGCAGGCTGTTCAGCCAGCTTTCCTGTAAGTCCCGGGGATGAATCCACCGGGGGCTTGGGGAGGGGGCTCTTGGATGAATTTTTGGCAGGGGGAAAAAGCTTGTCCTGTTCCATGGTGAAAGGGGGCTGCACGGCCAGGGTTTCTCCCCAAAGTTGTGTGTGAAGCCCAGGCACCTCCTTGGGAGTGGGTGGGCGAGATGAGGAGCAGGGGAGAGGGATGGAGTGGCTGGGGGGCTCCTCAGAGCTGGTGGTCTCTGCTCCCCCCAAGGTAGCTCCATCCCTTTGATGGTATTTGAGGCATTTGAAGAGCTTGGCTGGCTTTGGGCAGGAGAGTGGGCGCAGGCTGTCACTGCTGCTCTCGCTGCGTGGGAGAGCTGCCGCCGGAGCTCCGGGCACTCCAGGCTCCTGTGCTTGGAAAAGGGTGACAGTGGTTGAACCGTGTCCATCCAAAACTCTCCCGGCTCCTGAGAGAGGGTCATGCTTATGCCCAGGTCTCTGTGCCTCTTCCCTCCGCCTGCTCTTGGGGTTGCAAGGAGGTCCTGCTGCCCCTCCGTGCCCGTGGTGTGGGGATGCTCTGACTGTTCTCCAGTAGGAAGGGACGGCGTCCGGGTTGTGCCTGGTGTAGCAGCAGTGGTTCCCAAGCATCACACCTCGAAGGGGGGGTTAATTTGGGGGCAGCAAGGGAAGCTGATGGAAAGGAGATGGGGTGAGACCTGTCTCTGAACACCTCTCTCCAAGGCAGGGGCTGCCCACGCAGGGATGACCCCACTGTGCCAGTGGTGGGGCTGGTGTGAGGGTGCAGCCATCGATGGGGTGAGGGAGCAGTGGGTTGGGGGATCCCTCAGGGTGGTACAGCTCCCCAGGACCCTGCCAGCTCCCACTCAGGGTTTTGGGAACTGCCTGACCAGCTTCACCCCACCTCTTCCCCATTCCCACTTGGCACCTCTGCCACCCTCTGAGTTCCCAGCAGCCCCACTGCATGCCATGGGGTGAGGGACATGGGGTGCACACTGTTGCTCCCCTCCTCCAGCTCTTCCTCAGCCCCTCAGCATCCCCAGCACGGCCCAAACTGTTTCAGCAGATCCCTGGGGTCAGGGTCAGGTCTTCTGTGGCTGCCCCATCCTTGGGTGTGTTCAAAGCCAGGTTAGATGGGGTTTGGAGCAACCTGATTTAGGAGATGTCCCTGATCATGGCAAGGGGCTTGGAACTAGATGATATTTAAAGTCCCTTCCCCTTCAAACCAGTCTGGGATTCCATGATTCTGGGGACCTGGGTGGGCTGGCCTTGATGTCCGGCCATGCAGTGGGTCCCCAGAGGAGCATTAAAGCCACTATTCAAGGGGTGCCCGGAGCACCCCAGAAGTCGGGAGGTGTTGCTGTGGCCCCAGGGGTGTGGCAGTGCTGGGCCGGCTGCCCCGTGACTCTGAACGTCGGCCCCAGAGGCTCTTGCACCTTCCTCCTTCCTGCCTCGGGCTCTTCCGCAATGCTGGGGCGTCCCCTGC